AGAAAAAAGACAAGATATCATGTTTGCTTTTGTGCGTATCCCAATTCCCACATGCACGCACGCGCAATTAGACATGAGCACAAACTTTTCAGAGTTCGTGTGTGTGCACGCAAGGACGTAATGTTGTGGGACGTGGATGGTGTCGAGGGTGGGATAGGTAGGGTCAATAAAAAAGGCTATATACAAGGGAAAGGATGAATGTAGCTCGAAACAGAACTACTAAGGAACAAGCGTCAGGACGGATCGGGGTTCAGACACAAAAGGATAGGACAACCTCTGTAGCTGCCACGGATCAGTCGACGAAACTATTTGTTTAAGCGGGAATTGGAGAAAACATGTAGTTAATCAATCAACAAACCAGAAGAAAAATGAGGTAGAACGAAAAGTTTGAAAGCTGAGAAGGGAGAAGTGTGACATCTCTGAGGTGAAAATGAGTGAAAGGCAGACAAAAGAAAAGTTCAGAAAAACACCTAAGGTGGGAGGGGATGAAGTGATGGGCGCTGTAGATGAGGTCGGTCCAAATGAATAGGTAAGCAAATGTGCAGATTAGTAAACGAAACGTAAGAACGGGATTTGAGCAACCCGAGAAATTTGATGGAGGGAGTAAATCCTACTGGCTGATCAATGAACAAACATTACCCACTTGCAAAATCGCCGCTGTACCTGATCTATGGGTGAGGAAGGACGTCTGAAGAACTATGGAACAAGGGATTGGAAATGAAACAATACACTGTGACAAGGGATCTGTACAGAACCGGAGTGAGAGGAACGAACCAGACTGAAAAGCAGAGAGATTCAATGGGATGACAAGCGTGAAAAGCAGAGCAGAGCAATATTCAATGAATGAAGGCGTGGCAACTTCACGGTACTTACGAGATCTCTATGCAAAAGCGGAAAAATGAAAGAAAACTGAAATGCATGAGCCTGTGGTTGTGTTTGTCTGTTTCAATCTGTGTACGCCAAGAACAACAACAGCGACAACAAAGACTCGGTAGAAGGAGACAGAAATGAAACCGTAGAACAGCACAGAAAAAAATCACAAGGCAAACAAATCCGCAGTCTAAGTGAACCTCATGAGCTAAGCAGGCCGCAATCTGTGGGGAGACAGTTGAGAAGCTGAGGTCTTGATACTTATAAGGGATTATGAATGCCGATAAAAGCGGATGTGAAGCTCAGACGAGTTTATGGGTTGCGCTGACAAGGATCCGTGTATAAACGAACAATGGTGGGATTTTTTAATGAAAGACTAGATTCAAGATGCTTGCATATGCGTACGTCTGTGTGTTTATGTATTGTGCTGCATAGTGGGATCATTTCACAAATGAATAAGGGAACGTAGCTAGTGTGAAGAGGGAGATCCATTCTCCGGTTCGATTTTCAAACATATCGATGAACAGCGAAAGGAGCATGGAGTTTGTGGAGGAAGGCAATCAATAAATTAAAAATTAGTGGGATACCTGGGACATGAACACTGAGTGAGAATGGGTTGTGAAAGGGGTGTAAGGAATCAAGAAATCGTACAGCAAGCCAATTTGGAATGGGATCTGTGTGCGGATAGAATAGGAATCAGCTGCTTGGGATTAGTTCGTTTCTGAACGAGGCTGTGGTCGCACGCAAGCGAGGAAGAGCAGAGGTTGGACACAGAGTCCGTGTCCTCCGGACATGATATTTGGGACTCATAATTGGTTGAACTATCACGCTGGTTATTGTTCTTCTGATGGTCATTGTTATTCCCGTGGTGGTTGTTATTCTTCTGATGCTGCTGTCGATGGCCGTTTGTTTCACTCCAAGATTGGCAATCCGTTACTGGCATTAGATCGCCATCAGAGTCAAAAGTAACCATGCTCACTGAGACCGGGAGTGGACCATTCCTTGGTTTTATATCAGGAAGGGTAGTGGACTGATTGTCAAAACGGGGAGGACTAGAACCAAGTTTCGACTGTCTGCCAGCAGCCGGTCCATTTTCAGGGTGCTCTACAGATGAAGGTAGTACTGTTGAGTTAACTAAGGGTGATTTACATGTGCCATTAGTGTGCAGAGACATGGTAGTCCGGTGCGGGATCTCATTCGTAGGTTTCGAAATGACGACTGTCGACTGTGGTTCACCAGCTAATATAAGATCACCCTTTTCCCCCAACAAATGCGTTCGCCGGGTCCATACCCGATTGTGCAAAGAACTAGAATTGACCGAATCCGAAGTTGGAGGCTGATCAAAATAAAATGCTTCTGTCAATTCCGTTGGCATACTAAATTGATCTGTATTAAGCAAATCGCGGTGATAGGCTTGATTTACAGCAGATGTGATCGGTCCCTTGGGTGTGGCTATTACCAAAGAGCGGCGTGGGGGAGACAGCACTCGACGAGTGCCAGAGATAGTATGCGCACGAGAACCGTGACCTGAGGATAGAGGATCAGGTGACAGAGTAAATCGGGTGTATGGAGCTGGGCGCCGAGACTGACGAACCGGTAGATCGCTCACAAGTCCAGTTGAAATAGGAATGCTTTCAGAAATGGCAGTCAAGCTGCGCACTGAAGCTGACGCNNNNGAGGATAGAGGATCAGGTGACAGAGTAAATCGGGTGTATGGAACTGGGCGCCGAGACTTACGAACCCGTAGATCGCTCACAAGTCCAGTTGAAATAGGAATGCTTTCAGAAATGGCAGTCAAGCTGCGCACTGAAGCTGACGCGCTGACACGGGCTGACGGATAACCCCCTGTACTACTTCCGGCAACCGAATTCGCGGTTCGGCGCTGATAATGACATTGGAGTTCAAATGTGCCGCGAATCACATCAAGCATGTGGCGGGAATCACGCAAACTTGTAGCCAGTGAGCTGAGTGAGAAATTGGATGTGGTCAAATTTGATGATTGACCGCCCACGCCNGGAGGATGGTTCGTATGTTCACCCAGGAAAGAGGATGATCCACCCCGAACACTGGTTTCAGAAAGCTGTTTCAAGGTGGAAAAAGTTTCTGCATCAGCCAGGGTAGCGAACGCAGCTTTTGAAATGCTAGACCCGGTCAACAAAGATGAAGTAGTTCGTACGCCGGATGACTCAGAGCGACGACGTGGTCCAAAGACAAAATTGCTGGAACTGGAATCTTTACGCCCTAAATCGCCGGAACGAGAAACCTCATCGTCTTCCTCGCGAATAGGTGCACAGTACTCTCGTGTAGACTGGGTTGCCGGTATTGCAGCTCCGTTTGCCAAATGAGGAGTGGCAGTTAATGAAGCGGAAATTCCACTGGCCCAGGCACCTACGTCAATTCCGTAGGAGGCGTGGCGCGTATCACACAACATGGGGGCAGAACTACACCATCCTGAGGTGCGTTGTACCGCACTGAAGGAACGATGAGGTGATCGAACAGAAGAACATCTCAGGTGAGCATTGTTATGGCATGGTGAGGGGGGCTCCTCTCCTATTCCATGGCATTGTCCATTTACCAGGAGTGTTGACTTCTCGTCCACGTTGACAGACGCATCCGAAGACTCTGAAATTGTCCGCGGCATACTCACAGTGTGCATCCGAAGTAAGTTCTTGGGCTGATCCGATGTCGTCGGTTCGGAGCCCGTGGTTTGATTTGGCAACTCTGGCCCATCCGCAAATGAGTTGTCTGAACCACATCGACTAGGAGAAGGTGCCAGTATCCCAGGTGGATATATATTGGACATTGTCAATGTAATATTGGGCGGACCACTACACCGACGATCAGCCAGCTGAGACCGGCTTATTAGTTGAAGTGTCTGCGAATAAGCAGTAGATGCAAATGGACGACGTTTGATTGGCGCTCCAGAGAGTGATGTGTCAACTGGAGAGGAGCCAAGGGATTGACGGCGTAGATCGCGCAATAGGCTTAAACTAACAGCAGCACTCCAACTGCCCACACTAGTTGGACGAGAACGATATCCCGTGGAAGTAAAAAACCGTCGCGTACGGGTGGGACTGTGTGTGGTGGAGAGAGGGCGAGGGGTGCTAAAAGAAAACCGTTGTTGTGCGCCAATCAACTGGTCGTCAAAGGACATTAATGTTCCTTGTCGTTTGAAGGAAGTTCTTAGTGAGCGTGCCCCACCACTTTCATCCGATAAAGTGTTTTTTGAGTGATTTGATGAATTAGTACGTTCAAACTCATGTTCGAGACGATTTGAACTGAAAATTCCGTTTCGATCCAGCACTTTCGTATTGTTCCACTCCTCTTCGGCAATATGCTTCAACAGTTGTGGACTGCTTTTCACGGAGATTAACGGTCGATGAGGAATCGTCCCACGACGATAATGCGGCTTGCGTCGATTTTCTCCAGGAGGCAAAGACCGCGAAGCCATTGGCGGTTGGTGAGCAGTTGACCCGCTAAAACTGCCACCACTTGCACTCCGATTGCTTAGTGATGCGTCAGATTCGGCTCCGTCAGACGTCTCCATGCCTGAACCACTTGCACGTGAACAGGGACGCGTCAGGGAATTAGTGGTCGCACCACCCAAGGCGGTACTGGTCATAGGATATGCATCGGCCAGAAGCGTGTTGGATGTACCCGCGCTATTTTGTTGATCGGCTGCCAAATCTGACCGAACACATGCTAAACTGGCCACTGTTACTAATTCCTCTTCTTCTTCGATCAGTGCCTCATGTGACGACTCTGCCAGACAGGAATCTAGAGGATGTCCGTCAGTGTTAAGCTCACTGTCGGGTAAGCACATATTGCGATATTCCTCAGCCAAATAACGACTGAACGTCGACGCTGGTTGAGTACGTTCTTCTTCCTCCTCCTCTTCTTCTTCGTCTTCCAAAATCATGCTGAATCGTCGTATACGTTCCTCCGGGTTGTTTGCAACGGCAATCGGGTTATTCTGACCGACTGAACAGACACTCCAGGGATTAACTTTCCCGGGTACCGAATCTGTAGAGTTCTGTTGTCCTGATGATTGAGTTGAACCTTGAATCTGTTGTTGCTGCTGTTGTTGTTGCTTGAAACGCTCTAATTGTTGTGCTTGTTGCGATAGTCTTTTATACTCCTCGATATAGTTTCGTTTTAGCTTCCGTTCGGCCAGCAAGAAATAGGTAGCTGCAATGTGATTGTACTCATTTCGATCCAAAGTCGCCTGGATTTCGTCGACTGTGGCAAGTTGACCCTCGGACATTTTGGAGAGAATTTCCATATGATCTTCAAACGACAAACACTCACGAGAGACCAAAGGAACAGAGAATAGCTCGATTGGTAAATCGTTATCGTCAATCCGAAGCCAATCGGCCTGTAAAACATCGTCCAAATGAGCGCGTTTTGCTGGGTCTCGTATAAGCAATCGTCGAATCAGGCTGGAACACTCAGAGGACAGATAATCGGGGATGGTATACTCACAATCCATGATTTTCGTGAGGGTTTCGCTGTCGTTAGTCTCCTGAAACGGTAATCGACCACAAACCAGCATGTACAGAATAACCCCTAAAGACCATATATCCACTTTCGGTGCATCGTACGAGTCACCAAGCAGGATCTCTGGAGCCGAGTAAGCCAGTGAACCACATGCTGTATCCAAGTGCGTTCCCGGAGTGAAGCGATTACTGAAACCGAAATCCGTTAGTTTGACCAAACCTAACTTCTCGAAGAAGACTACATTCTCCGGCTTTAAGTCACGATGAACAACATGTAGTTTATGACAGTAAGCGATTGCAGTGACAATCTGACGAAAGTATCGTTTAGCCAACCGTTCACTCAGTCCACTCCCGTGTTTCATGATATAGTCGTACAGATCCCCGCCATCTCCGAGCTCCAAAATTAGGTACAGTTTGTTCGGAGTATCGATCACCTCGTACAAACGAACCACATTTGGATGTTGAACAAGCTTCATGCAAACAACTTCTTGGAACAGATGGTCTTGAGCAATATCATCTAATTTGGTCTTGTCAATAACTTTGACTGCGACCTTTTCACCGGTAAAGACATGTCGTGCCAATTTGACCACGGCGTAGTGCCCCCGACCGATGGTATGCTGCAAATCGTAGAGGCCGGCGATTTTTGTGTCATTATCCGGGGCGTAAAAAAAGACTTTATTGGCCACTGCCTGTAATTGAAACAGAAAGGGTAACAATGTGGTTGAACGGTTAAAAACATAGCATGAGAAAAACAGAATTAATCGCCACATGCAATAGGATAACTACACAAACTCATTTACCTAAAAGCCTGCCGTTCCAATGGAACAGATAAGGATTTTTACATGCTACTCTTTTACAGAACACAATTTAGTCGATTTCGAAGAGGGGGGTGTCAATGAAAGGCTGCTTGGAGAAATAAGTAAGGTGAGGAAGATATGCAGCAGCGACTCGTATCGAGCACTGTTAAAATAACCTGAAACACTTCAGCAGTACCGCGTTCGGCTTGAGAAAACACTTGAACCCAACAAAGTCGCGACGATTTATTCGCGACAAAACATGTTCGAAACGAAACTCAGAATTCACAAAGAGAAATCGATAAATCATATCGTTAATGGTTAGCCGCGACGAATTCAATGGGACTATTGGGCTGATTCCTTATGCTGTTCGTTACAATGAGGTCTGTAATAAAACAAGCGAGTCATCTTCAACAGACGGTTGGAAGAAACAGAGCAGAAACTATCAAAACCGTTTGTTTTACGACAGATACAAACAAAGAGTTGTCGAACTTGGTACACTCTTGGTTTCAAATGATCAACAGATTCAAGCGAGTAATGGAGGATTTGATTTAAGTTCAATGGTGAATTCGTCGTGTACATAGCAAATTAAACGTGAACTAAAAAGCTAGGAGGCACTAGACAGCTGTTTCGACCTGGTTGGGTCTCATCAGCAGTGCGAATCCATCACCCCTATGTTAGTGGAAAATGAAAAACGGCCCGATCAGCTGCCCGGTGACCGAGTGGGTAGCATGCTTGCGCTCTACCCATGAGGTCCCGGGTTCGATGGATTCGCACTGTTGATGAGACCTGAACAGGTCGAAACAGCTGTCCAGTGCTTCCTAGCTTTTCAGTTCACGCTTCATTTGCTATATACACGACGAATTCACCTTTGAGATTCAAGCGAGTACACTAACCCCAATTACCCTGTTAGCAGTAACCATTGTGGGGAGCGGAGCTGGTGCCAAATTAAGGTAAGAAAATTAAGTGCACATAAAGTTAGGAAGAAACATGAGAAGGGTTAATTGGTGGTATCGAGTGAAATGCAATGACAAGTACGATAGATTAGTGTAACATAAAACACAAAGTATACCAGACGAGTAAACACCGTCCAGACTTATTTGTTTATATGGTGAAACGTGAACTGAATAGCTGAGCTCTATATAACTGTTTCGACCTGCTTAGATTTGATTGTGCCTGAGGTCGTTATTCTATTCATTTGACTCTACCTATTTTACAGCACCAACATTTATTCCTATTTCCGTGTTTTCCTGTCCAGACCTTGTCAAACATTTTGCAGAATACAGCCCAACTTATGGACTATGTCTATCCGAATCGACTGATTCAGTAGGTATCAGTAACAGTTCAGTTCAGTTTCTACAACCATTAACCATGCAATAGTGTGCGCCGGTTTTGGTTGCTGTCTTTTGGCTGCCCATTTGGATGAACATAAGGAGAAAAACAGGAAAGGTTGAAAGTAGGATCGAAGAGAGAATTAAAGATTTCATTGAACTAATTTTGCAGAGAAATTGATAAGCTGCAGGAACGCTACTGTTTACGACACCTAGCCATATCAATCAGTGTATCTAACCATCGGGTATGATCATCCCGCGTCCCCATTCAGGGAGCCTAACGGGACCTGTGTGACCCAGACTCCCTATTAGGGTTTTCATACCCTCATGCAAGGTCTTCATTTGACCACTCTTGACCCTTTTCCAACCGCTACCTGCCTCGGCAAACATTGCTCGCCGTGGCAACCTATTTGGCGACATGCGTAACACATGCCCCAGCCAAAGTAATCTATGGAGGTCGACCACTTGTTCCAGTGGGCGACCACAGCTGCCTAAAACACTGCGCCTAACCTCAGCACTGCTCGTCCGACCGCCCCACCAGACTCGTGCAATGCTGCGTAGACAACGGCGTTCGAACACCGAGAGTTTGTCTTTATCCTGTTTCCTTAATGGCCACGTTTCTGCACCGCATAGCAGAACTGGTCGAACAGCCGTAGCATACATTCGACCCTTAACAGACAGCCGGATTTCATGACGGAGCCACAGATGTCTCGAGTTGGCAAACGCCAATCGAGCCTTCTGTATGCGAGCTGACACTTCATTTGTGATGCGTCCACCGGGTGAGATATAGTTGCCCGGATAGCAAAATTTGTCTACTTGTTCTACTACTTCCCCATTTAGGGTGAGGCTGGGTACAGGACCAACCCAGTCTTGAAACAACATTTTACACTTTGAAGGTGCAATCGATAACACATTCTTCAGCAAACGAATAGCACAATAAGTTTACAGTGCACAGTTTGCATCTCACCAGGCGCGTACTAGACTACATAATATTCACGATCACAATAAATTGACAGAAATTACCGTTAATAAGTTCACAACTGTCGTGCTTTTTACCAAGGCAACACCAAAGTAACGAGTAAACCGTTTTGCTTACATCAAATAGGCTTCCATCTTTGAATAGCAATGGCTTCAGCAAACTGTGGTAAAGGTGATTTGGTGTTGGATAGGATCACTGAGAATGCAGTAGTTTGGTCGAACCGATGCTTTTTCTCAAGCAAATGACGTGCCATGGGAGAGGATGGATGTTGCCTGGTTGGTGACCTTTGACCTTTCCCCTTGGTTGACAAGTGTCCAATCACCCAGTAAGCAAAGGAATGTGTTCGGCCATCCGTTGTGATAATTGACGGTTGATTTTTCCTAAGTATGCGTCACCGCAACTGCAGATAAACTGGTATACAGTGTGAGACAGAACTGGATTGCCAACCATGTACACGTTTGTCCAAGTCGATTCCACGAGTAGAGGAAATAAGTCGGAGTTGAGCAGCTGAGAATGTGCGGTTGAGAGCTGACTTCAACCCACGCCCAGTAATCAGGCGGTCACACGTAACCCGAAGTCATCAATTACAAAACAGCTCATGACAACCAAACACAATTGTGCCCGCTTCCTTTTTTGGACTGTTGTTACGTAACTGTAAGCAAAAGGACTCGTTCTTTACCTTGATGGTGCCTTCGAAAAACCCATGAGAATTGTGAACTTATTAACGGCAATAGTTCTATTAATTTATTGTGACCATGATTATTATGTTATTTGTAGGATGCATCTGATGAGACAGCGAAATACAACCGGATGCAAATTGTGCAACGTAAACAGACAGCATTCTCTATTGAAGTTCATTGCAAGAAAAAGTTGTTTCAAATATTACAAAGGAGAGAAGTCCTATGACGATTCTAACTTTAACTTGTATGCGGCTGGCTTCTGGGAAAGGAGGAGTCGGTTTCACCGAAGTTTCGGATGGCACCCGTCTATATACGACAGAGGGGAAGTTGAAGCATGAACAAATCTAGTTCTCCTTCGGAGGCGAACATCATGGAGAGACTGGATTTCAGATCATTCGACGTTCCACTTGGTAGTGCTGATTTACATTTGTATTTGGCCGCCGAATAGGCGGTGAAAACCTGGATATGAAACCGGCTAGAGGTACCGATTCTACACCTGTATACCTGGAGATGAATAAATATGGACAGCTTTTCGATCTAGAAACGGTTTTGTTTTATAGCGTTCATTGTGACCATTTCACTCCTAGCCATCATGAGGATCCGTCGAAGATAAATTATGAAATTCTACTTTCCATGTGCTTTACAAGTTCAGTTTTGGTAGTTGAATCCTCAATTATGGTATGGACACGTTTACTTTTCATTTACGTTCACCCCTGGCCTCCATCCGTGG